TTTGAGGCATTCAATAGAATAACATTTGAGTGAACAGCTTTTTCAACTTTGTTTGAAAAACATAGGTAAAACCTGAAGAAAGATAATTAATTCCGGTTAAAAAAAAAATCTAGCCTGGAAAGACGTATGAAAATGGGTTGCGCACAGCTAAAATTATGCAAAAGTAAATATATCAAATATGCCCAGGGACCCAGGAAAACACATATGCATAATCTTTTCATCTCCCTCCATGGCTGAAAAAAAGCTTTTGACACTCTGTTCTTGATGACCATGTCTGCCAAAGCAAACAGATCCTAATGATCACAGTGATTATCGTAATGATCCAATAGAAAAGGATAATGAGGTTATTTGCTTTGGATCATGGCAGCCTGTAAATTAATGGCTAACAAAATAAAGCATAGCATCTGAAACAGTATGACACAGAGGTGTGGCCAAGTGTGACTCTGTCGCCATTCCATTTAGACAACCACAGGTTTTCTTTGTATTGTTACAGCTGACTGTCATTTGCCTACCTCCCAGATCCTCTTCACCTCGGCCTGCTCACCCTTCCACCGATGCTTTCAAATTGCTCTTCCATTCTCCCATTTTGCAGACTCTCGTCTCACAGGGACATGACGTTCTGCTCCATTAGAAGAGAAACGTTGATGATAATAATAGTGGATGTGATCAGTGTAAAAGGTCAGCTTGTGGCCTTGGGCATCTCACATCCTCCGGCGGGGAGAGCTGGGAGGGTGAAGACACCTATCTCACGCTCCCTAAAGACTCCTTACCTCCAAATACACTCCGCCACCCGAAGGCAGTCTGACTCATACGCAGCAAAACATAGAGTAAATCCTTCCTTCTTTGCTTTTTTTTTCCTTTTTAGTCTTGTGTGTTTCTCTCATTTTTGTTTTGTAAAATTCCTCTCATTTTCTCGCATTTATTGATCTTACACCAAATACCTTCCATTCAGTGCAGGTCCTTGTTCTTGACTTTTAGTCATGCTATGCTTCTTTGTTTACCACTGTATTCGTACATTCTTTTTTATTATTATTTCAATCATGATCTATTTCAACCTCAGTGCATCCGAATATTGGTTTGTGTCACCTTGGTTTTTTCAAATCTCAAAATGCATTCAATTTTTCCACCGTGCATTTCTATCTGGTTCCCTTCTCTTCGTTCTCAGCCATCCAGTCACTCTCTGCTCTTTTTTTTTTTTCTTGGCCATATTCATCTTCAGAGACCACAGGAGAGCTGTTATTTAAAGAGGACATACTGAGGAGAAATGAAAGCACATGAGAGAAGGGATATTTTACTTGTTTTGAGTGCATGTTGTAGAGAAAACCTTCTCAACACTCTTATTAAAGTGATATCAAATGGAAAGAAGCTGTAAAGTTAGAGTAAAAATCTGACAGAGAATCGATGTCCCTGCAGTGTTACATTGCACATCTATTGCTGTTTGTTTAAAGCTTCTCCACTTATATCTGTATCCACTGCTTTCTCATTGAACGTGTTGTCTTTCTGCTATTATTCAAATGGAATGCTTACAAATAAACTCATATTGGGGAAAAATCTTCATTAGTGCAGAGGCAGCGCGTGTGTCTGAGTTTAACATTTCCTAGAAATAAATGCTGATGTAAAGAACAGCTGCTGCAGTCTGCTTTGTTCTGCCTGCTTTCAGTCTCCTCCTGTTTAGTGTCTGCAGCTCTCTCCCTCTGTCTCGCTTGTACTCTACAACGTTCAACATATTAATCCGTGCAGTAACACCCAAGCAGGTTGCTGAATGTTCTGGCATTGCCACTAGGGAGGAGGTTAAATATCAGAAAAGGTCATGAAAAGGAGGGGCTGCAGAGTTCAAATGAAAGCCAATTCAGGAATGATGATGTAGAGTTGGAAAGAGCCATTCAGTAAACCAAGAATTTCCATCTTCCTGTGTAATGATATTCAGCCATTGCTGCAAATAGATATATGGAAGCTGCAAGAACTGTAGTAACTGCAAGCAATATGTTTCTATGACACTGCCTGAAAGCTGAAGTCTTGCCGTATTTGTTAATTCACAAACACATTAGAATACATTTTGTACGGCTCTAGCTTCAATCAGTTGTGTCGGACCCAAAAAGGGCCGCCCTGTCACATTGGAGTATTATCGTCCAAGGTGGGACAAATAAAGCTGTGATGAAAGAAAGAGCTGGTGAGCCTCCAGCCAAACTAAAATAAACATGCCATAAGACATACTCAGAGCTTCTGCTGTCACATCTTTGAACAGCAAGAGCATAAAACTAAAAGTCAATGTGGTTTATCGTGGCATCTGCTGTGATTTCATTTGTTACCTTGATTTGCTGAAACTAAACTGTGGTTGGCTGGTTATAGGTATTGCTTCCCCAATCAGCACATAAGGTTCTTCTAGCTTTCCAGGTTACATTTATATATGGTTTAAAATCTGGGCTATTATAAAATGATTGTTATATTAATACCTTTTAATGTTATGTTTCTGTGTACACAAGTTGGTTCCAAACTGTGAAAATAGGCCCCACATAATAACAGCCCACCCTAAACCTTTGACACAAGGTTGAAAGGATCATTTCTGTAGTTTTGTTCTTGCCGAACTCTGTCACGTCAGGGGATTATTTCAGATTTGTTGGACCTGGTAACTATTTTTTAATCTGTTTAGTCCAACATTTGGTGAGCCTGTGCAAACTGCAGCCTCAGATTCGTCTTCTTTGCTAACAGGAGAGGTAACCGGCCTCGTATTCTGCTGCTCTGGCCCATCTGTTTTTAGGTTATGTGTGCTATGTGTTTAAAGAAGGCATATTGTATGCCTTTTATTTCTGCTTAAGCTTCCATTTTCATCCCCATGAGAATCAGCTTCTTTAGGTTAGATGAAATGACTCTAAACCTGTAAAAAGGTGTGCTACTTGCTCCAGGTTTGGAATCAGTATCTGCCTTAAGTGTAGACGTTCAAGCATCCTTGTTTCTTGTTCATGAGTGATGGTCGAATAGAGCGGTACATGGATAGACAGAGTCGGATCCACTCTGGTGTAATGCACACATTTATTTGGCTTGTCATGTTGTAAAAACAGCTGAGTAAAAGAAGTGAAGTTCGATTTACCGACATATCAGACTCTCTGCTGTTGTGAACAAATGAACAATGCCCTGATTACAAGTGGTGGAAATTAACCCTCATTTCTGACGTCAACAGGGGATTTTTCATCAACAGAAGTAAATCTCTGTTTGTTTCCTCTTCTTGAAAAAAGCAATCTCTGTTAAACTGGGAGATGATTGCACATCATCATTACGGTAGATCAACAGTATTTGGCCCCAACACACTGCTATATCTAAATCGCTTAAATAACCCTCCTTTCCATTCTGGAAGTTCGTATTAAACACTGCAAGTACTTTTTAGCATGTAGAAATAGAGTGTGCATGCCAAAAAAAATTGGCTGTGCTAATAAAAATTCCCTGTACCTAGAAAAAAAAAACTATTTAGAAATATATTAAAATATGAATTAAATTGTGTTTCTAATTGCTACAGTTAAAGTGATTTTTTTTCTCTAAAAAAATAGTTAACCATTATGAAAGAAAAAGTATCCTTAAAATACATAATAAATATGCATCCATTTTAATAACATTTTAAGAACAAAATTTACATAATTTTGTTCTTATGCAACCACGATAACCTGGAGAGAAAAAAAAACATGGAAATGAAACTTTTCCAAATATTTCCAAATCAATTAATTCCAATAGGAAATAAAATGTAAATCATAAAACATATTTTTAACCTAAAAATTATAAATTTATATGACTTCTTAATTAAATAACTGTTTTACTGTTAAAAAGTAACTAAATTAATAAAGATTGAAAAACCAAAAATGATTTTTACATTTTATTAACATTACTATAGTTTTTATCCTGCACTTAATTTCCAGTGAGAACAGGTCTATTTCCACAACCTTCTCTTTATGTATTTTTTAAAAGAGCAACATGAAAATAACCATAAATTCAAATTGGAAGGTCATCATTTAGCGAAAAAATTGTGTTATACTTTATGTGTAGCTCCCATTTGAACAATTGTAAACTACATGCTTAATTATTTCTAATAAAGGTTCTTTGGAATTGTCAATTTGATCCAACGCTTAGAAACAACCACATGCCTCATTAGTAGAGTTGCACTTGGGGGTAAATGAATGCAGTGAAAGTGTAAAAAAAAAAAAGCGATGTAATATTGTGCTGAATTGAAGTTAGCTAGTGAGAATGTGTGTGAAGACTCCTATTACCTTGTATAATTAAATAAAGAGGCAAATGTACTTTCATGCTCAAATTCTCCCCCGAACACACGCATCCAGACCAATCTGTCTGTTTCATCAGCAAACTCAGCAGGAGGAGTATTAGCTATAACAACACCGTCTTTCCGGTTTTCTGTCTTTCAGCCCCTGCAGGCTCTACTGTCAAAGAATCAGAACTCAAGTTCCAGAAAGTGATTTATATCATTAGGCAAATGAGATGTGTGAACCCTTAAGCAATGCTGACTAAGTTATTATGTTCCACTAGCTCAAATTGTATGTGTCCATGCCGGTAAACAGACACAGAGGACACATCTTTTTTGCTTGAATACAGAACTCTTAATAGGCCTTGAAACATATGTAGCATGTCTGATTTAATAAACTATCCAAGCACTTCAGGATGATGAGCCGGTGGTGTCAACAGCTGTTTCCATCACCTCTTGCTCAAATTGGCTTCAGCTCTGCCACCTGATCAAGACACTTGACCATCACTAGATGAGCCAACTCTTTTCTTCTCTCTCGGTACAATGTCAACTGCACCATAACACTTCTAAACCTCTTAGCTTCACTCAGTTCTGAGTTTTTACATATCACCAATAGAAGCAGTGTAAGACAATGTTATAGAGAGGGATAGTGCAGAATAAACAGACTAAATGCAGAATGACTTCTGTTTATTGTTTTAAAATCCTTTTCATTGTTTGTGATTTATAACCCGCTGTTTTTAAACCTTTCTGCCTGCAGGGTCACCCTCAGGGAGGGTGTGAGCGGAGGAAAGTGCCACCCTACTCACCCGTGCCTGCTGACCACCTTTACGCTTTAGTGGCGTCCATTTGCCCCGCTCCCTGCTAAGCTTCAAACATGGCTCTAGCGATCTGGATCGTCTTCAGCTGTTCCGTGGCTTTTAGCAACATCGCTCTGTCCTCCCAGGGTAAGATTTATCTCCATTATATAGTTTTTCTGCTATGGTCACAGCGCTGTGAAAAAAGTGTTAGTTTCTTTACATATTTCTTCAGTTTATTTATTTATTTTTGTTTCTCCTAAATGTATAAAATCAGTTTAATATCACACAAAAATAAACTATATGGAAAACAAATACACTTACTTTTTATTTTTATTTTTAAAATAGTGGCATTTGGATATTTTGGTGTTTGGGGCCTTGAAGCTCTCCAATGGATGTTATTTTTGCATAGCCTCTTTCTAGTAGTTACTAAACCTAGTCATCCTGGCTGGCTTTAAAAGCTTCCAGGTTTTTTGTGACCTCTTAGGTGGGCCGTCAATGTTTATCATCTTTTTGGGAAGCAAACCCTTCCTATGTATGTTCATCTCTGTTACATGTTTTCTCCATTTGATGATAAGGGCTCTCACTTGTGTTTTCTACCTCTAAGCCTTAAATGACTTTGTGACCCATTTAATACTGATAGACATCATAAACGTCTAATTTGTTTTTAAATTTCTTTTGATTCAGATGTGATGTATTATTTTAGATCTTTCTTCCTACTTTATGGGGTAGGATGCATTTAATTGGTTTTACAGTATTCAAGGCTATTGAAATTAACCAAGAAAAATGTGGCTATTAACAAGTAATTAATGAATGGGGGTGGTTATTTTTTCAAATAGGGTAATTTATGAAATTATTATTTGAAAATAGCTTCTCTTATCTATTTATGTATTTCAGCTTACTATCAAAGCTTGCATAATAAACTGAATCCCTGGGAAATTACTAAAAAAGGAAACTATATAGATTTGGATATCAGTATTTATTTGCTTTGAGAGCTGTGTTTTTCATTTTTACCTTATAATGCTTAGAAGATGCTCCTTTTGCAGCTCTGGTGGGATTATTATAAATAAGGATGCAATATTTATATATTAGCTGTTTGATGAAGGTTGTAAGCAGACTGCTTTGCTGACCGGGCTAGAAAAGCTGTACTTCAGTAAACGTGTCTCATATGAGATGGAGCGAGGATATGTGTGCAAGGTGGGAAGTGATGTGAGAGTGTCAATAAAATTTCTTGTCATCTCAGTGTGAGGTGGAGCGTGGCAGGAGAATAGGAGGGAATCCGTGCATGTAATGGTGCCATATGTGTGACCTCCTTGAATGTGCCATGTACCATAAGATATTGCAATTTCTATGTGTGTGTGCCCTGTTGTAAGCTTGGCAGCAGGTGACCTGACTGGGCTCAAATGACGCTGGAGGGTGTATGTGTATATGTGTTTGAAGATGAGAGACGGAGCTGAGATTGCTGGGAGGATGAAGAGGAGGGGCTGCCGAGTGTCCGGCTTGTGGCCCGCCACACAGATAGCAGCACACCATCTGCTGTATGCTCTCAGTCAGCTCCATGCCAGCAATCTGCTGGGTGACGGACAGCTCAGATGAAGAGGAGGGGCTTCAGGAGGACTGGGTCACCACACGGACAATGAAGGAGGAGTTTAAGGATATGCAGGAGAGAGATGGGAAAATTAAAATGTGTTTATACCCACTTGTGTAAGTATTGGCTCCATCATACTCTTGGTGAGCGCTCTGATTTGGAAGCTTCATTTCTAATTTGAGTAGGTACTGTTCTTTCCATCTTAATTTGGCTGCTTTATGAAAATTGGATTTGCATACATTCGGCTCCACTCCATTATTCCTCTGGTATTATGTGCATTACTGTGAGTATTTGTGTGAAGATAAGCCTGGAATATCTGCATGACCTGACTCTTCAGGACTATTAATAATGTATTAATAAATCAATTGAAGATTATCTCTCTATAGCCCAGGAGTGCCGGCACAGCATTTGGTTTGATGAAATTAAGATTTTTTAAAATAAATAATGGCACATGCTCATGCACACCCACACTGTTGTGGTACTCAGAATGTTGGCAGTCAAAGTTTGGCAGAGATTCATTGTCTCTATTGTAGTGTGACCAGAGGAGCGGGAGAAAAATGGAAAAGAAAACAAGGGAAGCAGGTCCTAAAGGAAGGGAATGGGGGTTTGATGTGATGAGAGCTGTGGAAATCAGTCTCAGACTAATCAAAGCTCATTTGAAAACCGACATGAGCATCACACATGGCTTCACTGTCTAATGTGTACTCCTGCTCTCCCTTGGTGCTCTCTCTGACTAATCTGCCAGGCTTTAACCCTACTCTGCTCCTGGCTGCACATTCTAATATTTACCACTGACTGTCACACATTTATTCTCCTCTTAAATCTGCTCTTTAGTAAAAGTACCCCTAACCAGCTTGAGCTTAGCATGCATACTTCTTTCCCACAAACCCCATCTTGCTTCGTGAAAATATATCCGCTTAAATCACCATGTAGTTCATTATTTTTCTATTAAAGGCAGGAGCTCCATGAAACTGTAAAAGCTGTTGGTATTCCCTGGAAATTCAGTCAGACACATGGCTGTATTTCCAAATCCCTTCCAGTCCTGAGCTCTGGCAGAATCAGTAACAGATTGACACACATACTTTTATCATCCTTTGTCACATTAAAATCACAAACCTTATTGAATTATTGGGATTTGGGGTCAAAGACCAATACAATGCAGAACATAATCCTAAGAATGAAAGGGATTGAGATTTACATTTTTAAATAAAAAAAATGTTAATTAAATGTCAATGTAAATTAACAATTAAAAAAACTTTTTTGTATTAATATAATCTTAAACCTGTGCTGTGCATTTGCTAATGCCTTGGAGAACAAATGTTTGCAGGAAATTTTCTCACTCTTATTTACAGCATTGCTTCATCTTAGTGATAATGAATAGAAATGTCTAACCTTATTGCATTGATAGGTTTTTGGCTTGAATTTTGCTTGGCCATTGTAATATAACGATATGCTTTCATCTAAGCCATTCTGTTGTAGTTCTGGGTCTTTATAGTACTGGAATGTGAACCTATGCTCAAGTCTCAGGTTTTGAAGCTTATAACAGGTTATCTTCTGAAATTGTCTCTATCTAGCTATGCAGTTTACTCTAATTATTTCCAGATAGCTTTATTTTCACCTGCTGATGAAAAGCTTGCCTGCTAGACTAGTAAACTAGCCCCACCCACCAGCGGCCAAAATCATTATTGCCTCCGAGTGGTCTAGCCTCAATCAATGCCCCAGGACCTAGAACTGGCTGGCCAATCACAACTCAGGGATGTATTTTGAATTTTTGGATGCAAAGCAGACGGGGTTTTGAGGGTGGGACAACAAAGCTGTGCGGCACTGGAGAAAGCACAACAAGGAAGATGGCAACAACTATTGAACAGTTCTCGTTTGACTCAGCTTTGAAATCAGTTTTGGAAGGATTAGACTTGGGGTTTTCGTTGAAACGTGTGCAGGAAGAGGCTCTACGCTCATTCATTTTTAAGAAGGACGGCTTCGCCGTTTTATCGACAGGCTGTTTGTCTACACTTCCCCACCAGCTTTCTGTCGCGCTTAGTACGTCACAGTCAGTTGCACTTATTGGTCAGAGCATTGGACAGACATGGTTTGAAAGACAACGGGTTGTTCTCATCAACCATCTTATGATGTCTCATTCATCGGGGCCAAACTAAATTACACATTTAATCTCACATTTAGTCTGGTTTATCAGGCTACTTGCCCACAGCATAATGTTGCAAATCCATAATGTTTCAGTTGTGGATGATGTGCTCAGACTTGTGTTTTCTGCCATATTTTTTGTTTTCCCTTTCAGCAAAAAGTCAGAGTTCATCTTATCCAGCTCAACTCAACTTTATTGTCAAATGTGCTACATGTAAACATACAACACAGATGAAATTTCCATCCCCTCAACC